ACAATCATCCATTTTGGAAGTGTCCTGTTTTAATTAAAGCGAGTGACATGGTAAGGATGCAAATTGTGAACGAGATTCACGTTTGTGTTCGCTGCCTGTCGTCGACAAAACATGAAGCAGAAAATTGTCCAAATAAACTTATGTCTTGTTACGTCCCAGGCTGTACAACAGTCAATAAGCATCCTTTACTACATGGACACCCAAACGACAAAATTAAACGGTTTACGGAAATAGGATTTCATAATGTAATGAATCTTCAGGCCCAGCACTTGTCAGCTCATTATGGAATAATTCCAGGACATGTAGTTGCAAAAGATGGAGTTCTAATTCCAATTACAATATTGTTGGATACTGGATCTGGAATATCACTATCCACAAGGTCACTTTTCAAACGTTCTGGTCTCAAGCAGATAGAACAATATGAATTATCAATGAAATGGACCTCTGAAGCTGTGCATGTTGAGAATAACGCAGTAGTTTATGATGTTCCATTTATTCCATATTTCAAGAAGGAACCACTTCAGGACGACGTTGCAGAGGAATTCAACGTCTGGCTACGGGACTTTGATACTGTCACTAAATTGAAAGTCCCTAGATGTTACATCGGTGTGCCACTCAAGGAATGTGTTCTTTCACTTCATACCTTTGTAGATGCTGGATCGGAGGCTTATGCTGCTTGTTTATATTTGCGTGCTATTCATAAAGATGCTGTGTATGTTCGTCTCATAGCAGCTAAAGGAAGAGTTGCACCTTTAAAGTACGTGTCAATTCCTAAATTGGAACTTATGTCAGGAGTTTTGGGTGCTAGACTACTCAACTCCGTAAAGACATGGCACAAACGTTTGAAAATTGAAGATTATGTATGCTGGACTGATTCAATTACAAGCTATAAATGGATTAAATCACTACATCTTCCACGTACACCAACAATTCACTGATGACGAGTCGGATGAGGAAACAGACTTGCGAACCGTTTTGAGAGCAAGGGCTACAGGCACAAGTGGTAATTTAATACCAAAAACATATAAACGAAAGCGCCTTCATAAGTGCACCAATTAAAGAAGCCTTTGGCTTTCTTTAGAGGGACGATGTTGCTTAGAGATTAACGGCGTTTTATTTTTCAAATTTTCTACTTTAGATAAAGTTTGTTGGCCCGTTTGAGGCTTCTTATCGTTCTTTTCTTTTTATGTGTTCAAGTTGGGTGGACGTGATCTTTCACGAAGTAATATTTTTAATTTCATTTCCTTCCACCTTTTTTATTCATTTAAAAATTGTTTTACTTTTAGAAAAATTGAATCGTAATTGTTTCAATACAAAAATATAAATTCACGATACAATTATTTGTGTTTTATTCGTCCACTCGACAGATTTCAAAAGAGCTTTTGAGACAGTTAATAGGGAGATTTTGCTAAAACAATTGAAATGTTATAATATTTCGGAGGACACTATCAAATGGTTTTATAGTTATTTGACTAATAGGAGATAAATAGTAAAAGTAAACGGGATTTATAGTTCAGAATTAGAAGTTAAATGTGGAGTTCCACAAGGTTCAAAAATTTCAAATACATTGTTTACTATCTACATTAATGACATCGTAAAAGTGGTCGAATGTGATGTATTGATGTATGCTGATGATACGTTGTAAAGCATATCAGCCAGAACATCATGTGAAGCCATTGAGAAGATGAATTTAGAGTTGATAAAATTATGTGACTGGCTAAAATTTAACAAAATTGCTCTGAATACCAAAAAATGTAATTATATGATTTTTAATGAAAAAGTAAATTCGGACTTGAATATTAAAATTGATGATGTTGAATAGGAAAAAGTTGATAAAACGAAATATTTAGGTGTTTTAATAGATAAAAGATTAAGATTTAATGAGCATGGTGAATATATTATCAAAAAAATGAATAAGAAGCTTGGTTTATTTAGAAGAATATCAAATAAAATAAATGAGGAGAACAAAATTTTATACTATAAGTCGATTGTGCAGCCACACATTGATTACTGTTCGTTTGTGTTTAAAATGATGGAACAACAAACTTTAAATAGTTTGCAGGTTGTTCAAAATAAATGCATGCGAGTTATTGATCGTGAAAATATAAATGAGTTAAGAGATAAATATAAAATTGTGTTAATTGATACAAGAATTAATGTTAATGTTATTAAGTCACTTAATAGAATTTTAATTAAAGGGAAACCAAGCATCCTCAATAATTTATTTGTAAGAAATATGGATGCAAGGGTTAGGCATATGAGATTTGCGAACAACCTAGTAATACCAAATTATTTAAAAAAAGAGCGCAGAAATCATTTGTATTTGTAGCAGCTAGGGAATACAATCTGATAACTAAATTCATTCATGATAACAAGCTAAATAACAATAATTATATTAATAATGTAATAAAATTTTATACGAAATAAAGCCAAAATGGCGCTTAACTGAAAAAAAAAATGAAAAAAGTTCAGAATTACAGTATTTTCGATCAAAAAATTTTGTAATTTTTTAACGGATTAAGAGAATTTAAGCTCTTGAGTTGCTTTGTGACAAAAAATTAAGGTTCGGAGAATCGATTTATCTCGATAATTAAACTTTTTTACTGGAGTTTGGAGCATAAATATTGTAAAACAGATCTTAATATATCATTAAGTGTACATTTAATGCTGCAAAGATGAGTATTTGATACAAATTTTTTGAAAACCCTGTTGAAACTTTTACAAAATTCCATTTTTGGTCACAAAGCAACGGACCGAAGAATTGAAATATCTTAATACGTAGGACAATTCATGCTTAGACAAACAAATTAATAGATAGGAAATAAAAAATTACATCAGATAAACTGAAAACCTTCCTTTAATGGAAAATTTCGACAAAAAATTCATTTGAAGTCAAAATTTTTGCAATTTACCCTACAGAGAATCAACCTACTGCAATGTACTTTTAAGTGCAAACAAAAGAAAAAGAATCACACTACAGAGTACTTATTAGTACTAATACAAAGATAAATAATTAAAGAGCAATCTAAAATTCTACTAAAGTATTATCAATATTATATTATTTATGCTTTAAATCTAAGGAACAGTTTAATTTAAGAGAAAAATTGATTCATCGAAAGTCAACTTTATGTCACGGAGTATTTTTAAGCTTTTATTTTACCGATCCGTGAAAAAATTACCAAAATTTCAATCAAAAATTCAAATACTACTCTTATCTTTGATTATTATATAAATCTATTAATAATCCTTAAAAATGTAACTGTCTTTGATGATTTAAGACTGTTTTGAGCAGTGTTACGACACCTCAAAAATTACAGTTTTAGAATTTTTACCGATTTTTTTGAATATTTTAAATTTATTTTAACCATTACAAAAAACCTTTAATTTTACTTATTTTAAAGCTTTAAACTATTTAGTTCATTGAAGTAAATTATCTTATAGACTTTTCAAATGTTTTTGAGCTGAAACTGTTTAGATAAAAGGAAAAATTTGTAATTTAAAAAATTTCACGACAAAAATATCAATAGTAAACAAAACATGTAAATGTGTTAGTAAATCAATTCATAAATTATAATTTCTTTTATAAATTGCTTATTTAAGCTCATTGTTGTGGTGTAAACTATTCAAAAGTGATAAAACATTACAAAGATTATGTTGATTAGGACAAATCATGATTAATAGGAGCTAAAATCATTGATTTTGATTTCAAATTTTTCCTTTGTTTACATTTTATATAACCGACAGTTAAAATTCAAATTATCGGCTTAAATTTTGAAGTTTTCGACATTAATTCTGAAGCAATTTCGAAATTTTTCGAGAATGAGGTGGCGTAACACTGGTTTTGAGCAGTTTTGAGCTTTAAAATACACAAATAATTTTGTATTAAAAAAGCTCTTTTTTGAAATCTCACCATTCTGGAGAATAGCCTATATACAACTTCAATAAGTTTCATGCCAAAAGTCTCATAAAAAATATTCTAATTATGTGTTCACTTAATTTACGTTCCTGTCTTATGAGGAGTCTTTAATTAAACTTATTAACATTAAGTACCATATTTAAATAAAATGGAAAATTTATTCATTCTCAATTAAGTGAAAACGGTTGAAAACATGTGATTAATATTTTAGAAAGGGATAAAAAAATGGAAATGAAACATCTTTATTTTTTTCATTCTTTAACTTAACAGGAAATATTCAATTTTATGTGGGAATTATTTTTTATAATTTGTTATAGGTTTTCTTGCAGCCGGCTGTCGTTGTCGAGCCATAAAACTTTGTCCTTGACTCAGTGATGCTAATTTTGAATTTTACTTATTTTAAAGCTTTAAACTATTTAGTTCATTGAAGTAAATTATCTTATAGACTTTTCAAATGTTTTTGAGCTGAAACTGTTTAGATAAAAGGAAAAATTTGTAATTTAAAAAATTTCACGACAAAAATATCAATAGTAAACAAAACATGTAAATGTGTTAGTAAATCAATTCATAAATTATAATTTCTTTTATAAATTGCTTATTTAAGCTCATTGTTGTGGTGTAAACTATTCAAAAGTGATAAAACATTACAAAGATTATGTTGATTAGGACAAATCATGATTAATAGGAGCTAAAATCATTGATTTTGATTTCAAATTTTTCCTTTGTTTACATTTTATATAACCGACAGTTAAAATTCAAATTATCGGCTTAAATTTTGAAGTTTTCGACATTAATTCTGAAGCAATTTCGAAATTTTTCGAGAATGAGGTGGCGTAACACTGGTTTTGAGCAGTTTTGAGCTTTAAAATACACAAATAATTTTGTATTAAAAAAGCTCTTTTTTGAAATCTCACCATTCTGGAGAATAGCCTATATACAACTTCAATAAGTTTCATGCCAAAAGTCTCATAAAAAATATTCTAATTATGTGTTCACTTAATTTACGTTCCTGTCTTATGAGGAGTCTTTAATTAAACTTATTAACATTAAGTACCATATTTAAATAAAATGGAAAATTTATTCATTCTCAATTAAGTGAAAACGGTTGAAAACATGTGATTAATATTTTAGAAAGGGATAAAAAAATGGAAATGAAACATCTTTATTTTTTTCATTCTTTAACTTAACAGGAAATATTCAATTTTATGTGGGAATTATTTTTTATAATTTGTTATAGGTTTTCTTGCAGCCGGCTGTCGTTGTCGAGCCATAAAACTTTGTCCTTGACTCAGTGATGCTAATTTTGAATCTACATTTTCCCTTTGAGTGTTTATTGCCATACGATAGAAGGCTGCAACAATTAGCTTACTCTCCGCAACTGACATTCTTTCTTCAAGCTCTTCGGGAACTTCATTTACTGTTCCATCACTAAGCCCTAAGCCTTGGATTACTTCTTTTGCTTTTTCCACACATTTTTTGTACTTTTGCTCTAATCCAGCTAAATCGTGAGTTTTGTTTTCTAATGATACTTCAAGCAGTCGTATTCTTTGATGTGAATTAGAAATTTGACTTTGCGCTTCTTCCAACAACCTTTCCCGTTGATCGCATAATTCACTTAGCTCCAGTGTTCCATTTTTATTTTTATCAACATCAGTTTGTGATGTAAGAAGAAGGATTTTTTGATTCGCAGTTTTAAGTTGATCTCTAAGTTTCTCATTTCGTTGATTTGAATCATTAAGTAAATCAGACAAAGCAGTTTGCTGACCTTCCCTTAATGCTTTATTTTCTGCCTCTAAACGAACTATCTTCTCTTTCATATTATCTCCAAATAGTTCTCTTGATATATTTGTGGAATCATCATCGTCACCTGTTGTGTTTTTGCATTTGAACTCGTCAAGTTTTTCCTCTAAATTCGTTAATTGTGCTTTAAAATTGTCGCGTTCTCTTGTCATTCCAGATAGTTTAGTCTGAATAACTTGCAAATCAAATTCAGACTTTATAGTTTTTTGCATTTCTGAATCAAGCTTTATGTGAAGCTCATCGAGCTGATTTTTGTATAAATCCACTTGTCCCTTCACTGCTGATAACTTTTTTATTTCTTCTTCGTACTGAAGATTTTGTTTTAAATATTCAGCTGTTCTCTCTTCCAACTGCTTTATTTGACGTTTGACATCATTTGTATCCTCTAATTTTTTTTTATAAATCGTCAGCTGACGCTCATATTCTTTGGATTTTTCATTCGCGTCCCTCAAAATGTCAACCTCGTCTTTTATTTGTGACAATTCGAAAGATGCTTTCGTCAAATCGTCAATTTTCATTTGCAATGACGAAATTTGTTTTTCCTGCTGCATTGCTCTCATTTTTAGGTCTTCTTTCATGGTTTCCGATAACAACAGATCATTTTTTAAAATTTCAATTTGTTTTCGGAGCTCATTCATTCTTACAGAACCTTGTAGAGGCGCTCCCAAGCTAATGCCATCTTCACCAATTAATGCTTGATTTTCATATTTTTCAACGGTCATTTGTAGTTTATTTATTTCATGCTGCATCGTAATTTTCTCATTTGTCATTAGACAAATCAAATTTTCCTTTTCGTGTAACTTTTGTGCTAGATACTCTTGATCATTTTTAATTTCAGAATTTTGCATGTTAAGCGAATTTCTTGTTGACGACGGCGTTCCAATATTTTCTATTTCTTGTAATGCTGTCATGATGTTTCTTTGAATGTCCTCTTCCATTTCCATAATTTGTGTAATGTACTGTAACTTATTCTCACAGTTAACAGCAATTCCAAGTATAAGTTTTATCAACTTAATTAATTCACCTATAAGAAAAATTTAATTTTAGTAAAGGATTAAGTTATACTCAGTGTTGCAAATGTAGATGTCTACACTAGATGAAGAATGTAGATTCTTCAATAGTTTTTGTCTGAGACAGAAATTTCTTCATAAAGATCGATTCTATATGAAGATAGAAAATCTAATCTACACAAAGATTATTTCTACATAAAGATTCTGTCTACATAAAGATTCGATGTAGATGTCTACAATTCTACATTTTTTCCAGGTCTACATCAGATGAATGTAGAATTGTAGACATCTACATCGATTCTTTATGTAGACAGAATCTTTATGTAGAAATAATCTTGTGTAGATTAGATTTTCTATCTTCATATAGAATCGATCTTTATGAAGAAATTTCTGTCTCAGAATTTATCTGATCCAGACAAATGGTCAGAATGCAACACTGGTTCTACTATACATATATGCGCGGGTAATGTGCGTGAGCATTTTGCGCATCCTTGTTATATCGACAAAACTCTATATAATCATTGAGAGATCAGAACCTGTTGAGAACAACACAGTGCGCCTAATCAATGTTTTAATACTACCTTCATCATTATTTTCTGCTATTTTAAATACATCTGGAATCAAGTGTTCATCTAAAGTAAGATCCAGCTCATTTGAATAGTACATTACAATACTATCAACAATTTTTTTCAAATTACTGGCTTTTGATCTCCAGTTGTCATCTAATCATAGGAAAAAAAATAGAAAGTAAAAAATAAGTCAATGGATTTAAAATAATAATTACTAATTGAAATATTCCTTATTTTTGGAGTGTAGTTAGGAACCAGCACTGCTAATAATTCACCCAAAGTAACTCCCGTCGATAAATCCAATGCAGTACCTTTTTTTAAATAAGAAATTTACATTGAATAATGAGTCATGTTAATTTTTTCAAAAACATTTTTAAATCTAATTTTCTTACTACATGCTCCTGAAAGTTCCAGAATTTTTAGCCACTTAATCAAACTCTCGTACATTTCTTTTTTGTCCATTTTTATTCAACCAGAATACTCCAAAATATAGATTATCAACAATTTTTATTGTTGAAAATTAATGATTGGCGATTCCACGGATGAAGTCATTTTATATTCACACCATATTCATGTGTAAATGTATTGGTTTTGCTCGGATTATAAATTCAATTTTTCGCGTTTTGTGAGAAAACAAAGCAAAATTGGCTAAAAATGGTCCGAGGAGAAAAATTTCACATTTTCTGCAAAAAACAGATTTCAAATTGATTGGAGCATTGCCGAGAAAATAGCAAAATATATTTTTTATAAGCAAAGAAGCAAGAATTCTCAATAATTTTTCAACTTTTAAAAACCACAGAATAAAAAATTCAAACATTTGAATTTATTAATTCCCTTTCAAGCATACTGTAAATAAATATGAACATTGGAGCTATCTAGAGAGCTCAAAAAAAAGTCATAAAATTTCATCCGTAGAATCGAACGGACGTAAAATTTGGTTTATTTGGTTTAGCGGAATGATGCAAAACTCAGACCACTATACTTTTAAAAAATAATCATCCGTTTTTTACAGTATTTTTTTTTATAATATCTTGATTTTCATAATATGGTGTGCGTTCACAATTTAGGTATGTCATTTTTAATGATTTTTTTGATCTTTAATAGAAATTTTGATTTAATTATATCACGTAAATTTATAAGGTCGTTCATTAATTATGAAGAACTATCACCTCTACTAATAGCGTTACAAATTTTTGAATTTCAATAAATTGTTAATGAACAAAAGACTTTTAAAATGCAAATATTGCAAAAGCTTGATTTAAATCTTGTTAATTAAATGACGCGTTATGTACCTAATGGAATACATTTTTATTAACTCAAATTTTATTGCCAATCAAAAACTGATGGCTGCATCAAAAATGCGGTGAAGTCTCTCGATCAATAACACGAGGACTTTTGTAATTTTTTATACAATTTTTTTTTTTTTTTGCATAGAACTGTCACATAGTTACAGAGCCACTTTAAACGAAGTTGGATATAATTTATCAATGACTTCAAATTAGATGTTTGTATGTATAGCTTACTTTCTTTTCCTGCTTGAAGCCCAAGGCTAAGCAGATGAAAAAAGGTGAAATTTTTAAAATAAAAAAGAATGCTTATTACCGGATAGAGGCTGAAATAAAAAACAGTGATAAACCAGAACAAACTTAGTTTTTTAAAGATTTTGTATATTAAACTAATTTCATATAACGCAAATCTTTTTGTAACATTCAATTTTTATGTAATCTATCCCTTTTACACATATAAAAGTTGTTTTACAACCTTATTAACCAGGTTCCTGCAGATTATCTAAAAATTATAATCTTCAATTTTAAAAGATTATAATATGCGGGAGCCTTGATTATTTGATAAATAACTGGTAGAGACTTAGTAACGCGCAGAGGCCTATAACGGAACAAGAGGTTAAGTTTCAAAATCAGTTAATTCTCTTAATTTTCCTTTATGCAGTAATATACTAATTTTTTGATGCTCCTATTATCATTAATATATACATGAATATATTGACAATATCAATGTATAAATTCAATGCTGTCAATTAAAGAAGAAATTAATTATTATTAAAATTAAAGAACAAGAATCAAAATGAGATTATGATGTACCTGCAAATATATATTCCTCAGGACTAATAGAATATTTATGCTTTCCGCCCATCATGAGTTGAATATCATAGACCAAATAAATACAGAATAGAAGAGCTCCAATCGATGCGTAGACCAATGTTAACGTATTGTTTCGGTATATTGAAGCAAAAATGCCAAAAATAACCAAAATTATGACAGATACAAAAAGAACACTAATGAATCATATGTTAAAATTATTTATAATTATGCTTTTTATAAATATGTTTACCCTCCCATTGTAGTGAAATCCCATTTGGTCTGAAGAGCAAATATAGTAAGTCCAACAGTTACAACTTGAAGAGTCGAGTAAATTAATTAAAAAGTAGAACTCATATTTTAAAAAACTCATTTCAATGCATACCAACTGTAATTCCAACAGCAATCAAAACTTCATTTCTTGAATAAGTAGCTGAGGTCACTCCAAGCATAAAAGACATGCATGCGGTGAGAAGAAACAGCATGATATAGTTAGTAGGACTGCTTCGACGTAAGTTCTCACAACAAGCAAGTAGTATTAAGAGGATGAAAAGAAGAACGATTGCAACAATGAAAAGCCTGAAATATGATTTAAAATTAATATTTTAAAAATCATTAAATAAATAAGTAGTACCAGAAATTGTTTAATGCAAAATGAGAAACTGCAGGAACAAATATGAAAAGCGCTATTACTCCTAAAGTTAAGCTTAATTGAACCTTGTGAAAAAAGAAAATTTGCATTAAGTTTAATATTCAATATCATGAAAAAATTTTCTTACTGATAGAATGGCAAAAACCTTTCTAATAAAAGCTTTCCTTATCAACTCATCGTTAAATTCGATTCCCTTTGCCTCGGGATCTTCTGGGTCAGTCCATCCAGTCTGGTTCATATGTATTGCTTGTCCCTGAGGGGAATAATGAGGAACTTGATTATTTGATGGAGAGTTATACTGTTGCTGTGCATAGTTTTGGGGTGAATTATATGATTGCTGTTGAGCTTGTGGGTAAAAAGGTTGCTGTTGATTTGGATCTAAAAAATATACATTTTAAAAAAAATTTAATCTGAACAAAAAATACATTCACACGTGGATATTGTGTGACTAGAAAAAATAATTTTGTTAAAATAATATTTATTAAACATTTAAGTCTGTATTACTCATTGGCTGCAATTCTGACATTCCTGTTTATACGACAAAAACTTAAAACATACTGACATACAAATTTTTAATAATGGAAAAATTTCGATAAAAAGTTATCTAAATCTATCTTTATAAATCAAGTAAATAAATGATATCATTTTTAACGGCTGGTATGATTTTGTGATTTGATAAGTTTTTGCATTATTACTGTAAACTTAATTTTAGTTGTCTTTTAATCAATTTTTGGCATAATTGATCGGAATTGATCATTTTGACTTTAATCAATAACCAGCAAAAAACAAAGTTCCATTTTTGAAAAAAAAAGAAAAAAATTTATCAAAACAAAAAATAGTTTGGGTATGATACCAAACAATTGTAGTTCCCTAAATTGAGCTGTAAACACTCAAACATTTATTATTTGGTACTGACATTGCTGGTCACACATAGTGTCAGCATAATAGTCATAGAAGTCACACTGGTCAGCATATTTAATTTACCGGTGTTATAGTTGTAAACTTGTGATTTTGAATTCTGAGATTGCCACATTTCTTGGCTGTGAAAACCTGGTTTTATGTATTTCTTATTTGGAAATATTTTCGATGACTAAAATTAATTGGAAGTTTAACAAATAATTATTTTTTTTATCTACAGTTTATCTTATCGTCTCTTTTTCAAGCTTAACATGTCAAAAAAAAAAATGAAACTGAATACTGTTTTTATTCAATTTGTGTACATATATCCATTTAAAGGTATAATTGAAGAATTTTTCTTAACTTTGAGCTTTAAATTAATTTATTAAAAACCTGTGATAATGAATTGAAAAAAATGTAAGTCAGATAGAAATAAAGTTTAGAATAGGTACAATAAAATTAGCACAACGGCTCAAAATATTTGAAAATATTCCAAGTTTGAAATAAAACAACTATGTATGACGTCCATAAAAAAGAAGTTTTTAATCCCCTCCTTATACCCCCTTCCCCTCTCGCTTCCCCCATTTGTCACAAAATTTAAAATTCAAAAAAAATTATTTTATTTAAAGTGTCACAAAATCTCAGTTCCCTCTCTCCTTTATCATCGACGTATTAAGCGAATGCCCCCAAACAACGAAAAAGTAAATAAACACAAATTACTTTATTTTAAAAGTAAATAGTTTGATTTTAATTGTTGCTAGACTTTTGTTAATATAATGACTGAGAAGAATAGTAATCACATCGAGCTTGATGCTAATCCTTTTAAAATTGATTCAGACGACGAAAAATTATCTGGTCAGCTTGCTCTTATGGAAGAAAATTCTATGGAAATTTTTCCTAATCAAAACAATGCAAGCAATATCGTGAACAATAATATGCTATTTAATAATCAGAATGCATCATCAACAAATATTACATTTGATAGATGCAATGAAATTACTCTCGGAAATATTGTAAATGTAGCTCTGCCACAATGGCCTACAACAATAAATACTATTTCTGGCATTCCAAGTGAAATTGAGGATAACATCATTTACAAGAAGACGCCAACAATTAAGGCAATGATGGAGAGCACCCAAAAATTAAATGATAAATATTTGGATATATTTTGCATTAAATTAGGACATAAATTTCAATCATTAAGTGTACATTTGAAGATTGATGAAATTGACCTTCAGCAAGCAATCGAGGATAACAAACAATATGGAACTTGCGAGGTTTCATTTATAAAAAAATTGCTTTTGGTATATAATTGAAAAATTTATCTAATTTATTTTAGGTTTTATTTCAAATACTAAGCAAATATTTTCAAATCAACGATCAATATGGAACAGTTGGATGGCTAACAAAATTTCTTTGGAAAAATAATTATAAACAAAACGTATGGGGTGTAAAAGAGCTATGGAAAATGTTAAAGGAACTTGATAAAGAAGAACATTAACAATTTTATGTAAAAGTTTAAATAAATAATAAATAACTTGTAAAATTTGAATTCATATTACCACTTTTAAACAGATGCGATTTATCCACTACTTGCAAATATAAGGTTTGCATATTTATATATAATATAATATAAGGTGAGCTGAAGTGGCTCGGTGGCGGAATGGTTTAGTACTTCGGTACCTAATTATTGCAATACCGACACAGCGATCATGGGTTCGAGACTGGGTATGGGAAATTTTTCACTTGTTCTTTTTCGAATCATATGTACTGGAAATGAGGCTCACAGCCTTCCTTTGTAGGCTACAGACAGAAATGTCATCAAAGGAGTGGTTCGGATCCCACTATAAATTGTAGGTCTAGGTTTGAGTGCAGTGGTTTGGCGCATCCTCACTCGTTAAACTCTCATTAGCTGCGAATCGCCCTAGCGCACCTCTGGATCACAATTGATCTGAATAGGTAAAGGTTTTTTTTTTTTTTGCAAATATAAGTGGTATTTATGAAATACACTGTTTTTCAGAACTACCACATATATATTCAAGTGGTGGTTTTTGAAATCCTTGATTTTCGTTTTGTGGGGGCTTCCGGAAAATTTGCGTGTGTATTTTTGTCTATGTGTGATTTAAAGCTGCATACTGAGTCTCGAACATCGCTCTGACATTGCTGTGTCAGTATTGCAATAATTAGGTACCGAAGTCGAATTTTATCTTAATTAGGGAACTTTGCAGCTGCAATTTTTGCACAAACTTATGTAAAACGTCGAGCTCTTTCATTCTGTCTAACTCATGCATCTTGTCATGCCTTAATTAATGAATTATTAAGATTTTTGTCAGCGTTGGTATATTACGCAATGTTGAATTCTTATTATGCCGTTCATTCTATCCTCTTCTATGATTCTGCATGCTTAAATTGACTTGAAAGACACTCAATAGACAGAAAAATGAATAATTTTAATGCAATTAATGTAATATACCAACGCTTTAGCCAAATCCGTGAGAAAATGATTTTTGAAAGCAACATTTACCATAATCCAGGAGTTGACACGATTTTATCTTGAAGAATTTCATTTCATCGCCATACAAAATGTGTATAAAAAGATAAAAAAAGTTAAAATTTTAATATGCAAAGATTAAATTGTATCAACCCCTGGACTTTAATTAACAATAATTTCTTTGATTATAATGTTTTTAAAATTTTAATAGTCAATGAAGATCTTTCACTCGTTTTAAAAAGTGTTAGCTTAGTAAAAGTATATTTTTGAAAAATCAAATTTTTAATGAACATTGATTAAATTTTTTTTTTATATTCACACCGTTTCAAGTGTGAATCTATTGGTTTTGTTCAGATCGAAAAATCAGTTTTTTGAATTTTGTGAGGATAAGGAGCAAAAAAGTTTGTGCCTGGAATTTCACATCTTTTGCAAAAAAAAACAGATTTCAAATTGGTTGCGGCATTGCTGAGAAAATTGCAAAATACGCTTTCTGTAAGCAAGCAAACAAGTAAACAAGCATGCAAGTTTATCAGCAAGAAATCTCAATAACGAGACATCGTAGAGACTTCTAGTTTTTTACATTTGATCCGTGCTGCTCTATAGAAGAGCTGTATTGTTTTTGAGCAAGGTAGGAACAGCTGTTGCTTCAAAAAAAGCAAAAAACCTTCTTTTTTTACGGTTTTTGAAAACCAAAGTTTACTTGATTTTTATTATATTCATTTTTAAATACATTTTTGAATAAAACGGACGCAATTTAAACTAGTTGGTGAGCTCTTTTTTGTACGAATTTTAAAACAAATGCAATGCCATCGTAAGAGATGGTTTAAAATGAACTGTATTTAGCATTCAAAGTTGCGGAACTGACGATATCCAGTGCCCAAAAGTTCAAAAAACTTTATTGACTCAATTTTTGGTTCCGATTCCCTTTCTGAATATTTTAAAAAAATGTGCATAATCGAGCACTTTTACAGCTTCCTGCATGCTGATTGATACTTTATGTAGCTTTAGAATCCCTTTAGAACCCAATAGCCCGAAAAAATCTTCAATAAGTAATCAGATTACCTAATATTCTAAAGCTACAAAATATACTAATCAGCTTGTGAGAAGCTGTGGAAGTGCTCGGTTCCGCACATTTTTTCAAAATATTCAAAAATAGAATCAAAACTTAAAATTGAGCAAACACAGTTTTTGGATCTTTTTGCACCGGATGTGGTCAGTTCCGCAACTCTTAATGCTAAATACAGTTCATTTTGAACCATCCCTTACGGTGGCATTGCATTCGTTTAAAAATCAATAGAAAAAGTGCTCAACGGCTAGTTCCTCACATTTAATAATGCTTGAAGAGAACATTTAAGCATATATATTTAAAAAGAGGAAAACATTCATTAACTGAAAGGCGAGCGTAGCTCAAGCCCGACTCCTCTATTTTGTGTGTCAAGTCCTGTAATCTATTTAAGTCGGGCGAGCGTAGCTCAAGCCCGACTCTTATTTTGTGCATCAAGCCCTGTAATCTATTTAAGTCGAGCGAGCGTAGCTCAAGCCCGACTCCTCTATTTTGTGTGTCAAGTCCTGTAATCTATTTAAGTCGGGCGAGCGTAGCTCAAGCCCGACTCTTTTATTTTGTGCACCAAGCCCTGTAATCTATTAAAGTCGGGCGAGCGTAGCTCAAGCCCGACTCTTTTATTTTGTGCATCAAGTCCTGTAATCTATTTAAGTCGGGCGAGCGTAGCTCAAGCCCGACTCCTCTATTTTGTGTGTCAAGTCCTGTAATCTATTTAAGTCGGGCGAGCGTAGCTCAAGCCCGACTCTTTTATTTTGTGCACCAAGCCCTGTAATCTATTTAAGTCGGGCGAGCGTAGCTCAAGCCCGACTCCTCTATTTTGTGTGTCAAGTCCTGTAATCTATTTAAGTCGGGCGAGCGTAGCTCAAGCCCGACTCCTCTATTTTGTGTGTCAAGTCCTGTAATCTATTTAAGTCGGGCGAGTGTAGCTCAAGTCCGACTCCTCTATTTTGTGCATCAAGTCCTGTAATCTATTTAAGTCGGGCGGGCGTAGCTCAAGCCCGACTCCTCTATTTTGTGTGTCAAGTCCTGTAATCTATTTAAGTCGGGCGAGCGTAGCTCAAGCCCGACTCCTCTATTTTGTGCGTCAAGTCCTGTAATCTATTTAAGTCGGGCGAGCGTAGCTCAAGCCCGACTCTTTTATTTTGTGCATCAAGTCCTGTAATCTGTTTAAGTCGGGCGAGCGTAGCTCAAGCCCGACTCCTCTATTTTGTGTGTCAAGTCCTGTAATCTATTTAAGTCGGGCGAGCGTAGCTCAAGCCCGACTCTTTTATTTTGTGCACCAAGCCCTGTAATCTATTTAAGTCGGGCGAGCGTAGCTCAAGCCCGACTCCTCTATTTTGTGTGTCAAGTCCTGTAATCTATTTAAGTCGGGCGAGCGTAGCTCAAGCCCGACTCCTCTATTTTGTGTGTCAAGTCCTGTAATCTATTTAAGTCGGGCGAGTGTAGCTCAAGTCCGACTCCTCTATTTTGTGCATCATCAGTAAAATTATCGTTTATAATATTTCCGAACATGTTTATATTGTTCAAAAATCTAATGTCAAGGAATTGGATTTTGACATTGTCACTCTCTGGATTTTCATTATGAAATTTTATTTTTGTTTCACGAGTTGAACGGTTTTATTTTATATTCACACCATTTTCACGTGTGAATCTATTGGTTTTGTTCAGATTGAAAAATCAGTTTTTCGCGTTTTGTGAAAAACGAATCGAAATTGGTTGTAAAATGTCCCAGAAAAAAAGTTTGTGCATAAAATTTTACATCATTTGCAAGAAACAGATTTCAAATTGGTTGCGGCATTGCTGAGAAAATAGCAAAATACGCTTTCTGTAAGCAAGCAAACAAGCAAGCAAGTTAATCAGCAAGAAATCTCAATAACGAGATATCGTAGAGACTTCTAGTTTTTTACATTTGATCCGTGCTGCTCTATAGAAGAGCTGTATTGTTTTTGGGCAAGGTAGGAACAGCCGTTGCTTCAGAAAAAGCAAAAAACTTCCTTTCTTACGAATTTTTTAAAACAAATGTTCACTGTGATTTTTATATTATATAATTAAACTTTGCATATAGGGAATGAGGTGGTAGAAGAAGTGGACAAGTTTGTCTACTTGGGCAGTATTATTTCTAAGGACGGCGGTGCTGAAGACGACGTCCGTAACCGCATTAGACTGGCCAAAGCAGCTTTTGGCTCATTACGACATGTCTGGACCTCCCCCCGACTTTTGAGACGACTGAAGCTGAAGATCTTCAACTCGAACGTCAAGCCTGTACTTCTTTACGCATGCGAGACTTGGAAAGTTACAAAAGCTCTTACACAACGCATCCAAGTTTTCGTCAACAAATGTCTGAGAGCAATATTTGGCATCTACTATCCTCAAACAATAAGGAACACAGAGCTGTATGCAATGACTAAACAACAAATTATTGCAGACGAAGTTGGTAAAAGGAAATGGAACTGGATTGGCCATACATTAAGGAAAGACCATACAGACATCGCGAGACAAGCGATTTTCTTAATTTGTCCAAGGAAATAGGACTAGGGGCCGACGGAGAATTACTTGGCTTGGCGTACAACTGTTGAACGGGAGGCGGAACAACAGAACAAGCAGCTGCAGGAAATAGCAACTTTGGCCCAGAATCGAGTGCGATTCAAATGCTTTGTGGACGCCCTACGCTTCATAGTGGAGCAATAGGAACCCATTATCATCATCAATTAAACTTTGGATGAAAAATTTTTTTAAAAAAACTTTTAAAGAATGGTCGTTAAGCTTTAAATCTTCAAACTTATGCTGAGCGAAGCTCAACTGACTCGCTAGCTTTATACCTTCAAACTTATGCTGAGCTAATCTTGGTCTATCCATAAGACTTTTGATGGTACGGTGTGAATATGGCCGCATTGGGTTTCTACCCAATACACTAGTTGTTTTTAAAATTCATTTTATCTAAAATAAT